AGGCGACTGGTTGATCAGAGAGCTGATTGGATCAGTCTGATAAGTTTCGTGTTACTCTCTGGCAGTCACCTAGTTACCACTGAACGCTGTGCATCCTGTGAAACAGCAGAGGTTGAATCCTCGAGTAAAACGAAAATATAGGACTAATTTGACAGCAGAATATACTAAAGTATATCCACGTCTAGTGAAGGTGAGGAACAGTGGCGGATCTAGACCAAATGTACCAGGGGGCCAGGAGGGGGCCAGCATGTTTTCATGGGGGGCACAGAAAAGCATGAAATAAAAAAACAGGGCAAGGGATTCAAATATATTAAGAGAGCTGCATGAAGTGAAATTTCTTTTCAATTAGGTTCAATAGAAATTCTATTTCTTATTAGGTCAATATACATTTATAATTTAGGATTTTTACATATTTTTGACTTAATTGAAGTTAAAACTACCATTTCTATAAAATTTGAATTAGAACTCAAGAAAAACTCTTAAATTCATCTGTAAAAATTCTAGTATTGGTTTTTCTTTATTGTGAAAAAAAAAAAAAAAACATTTAGCAGATGAAAACTGGGCTCCTATCTCAATCCCACTAAGCTATCACCTTAATGTTTTTTAATTATTAAAATAGAATTTGTAAAGAAAAAGAATGAAGTTGTTGAAAAGGACCTATCAGTAACAATGTCTATTCCAGCGCATATCATCATTAGAATTTCTGGCCCCTGTCTAGAACCGGCCATGGTGAGGGATGTTGACACCGTGGCAAGGTTCACTGTATGCTGAAGTCCCATGAAAAACAGAAAGCACAACTGATGTTCAAGGCAACAAGATTGAAAGTGTTGTAAATTGAATATGAAAGACCAATACTGTTCTGTTTTGTGTTTAAGAAATTACTATTAGTTAATAAACAGTTGTTGAAAAGTTGCTGGCCTTAAGTGTGTATGTATGGGGCATGATGCTGATCCATTGTACCCAGGGGGAGGGCGTTAAGCATCTCCCTGAAATGAGTTTTTGAAACTTGGAATGTCTTTAATATATCAATGTTAATATCTATATCATAATAGACAGGTGGTCAATATCAATACCTCCAATAAAATTCTTAATAATTAAACTAAACTTCAATCCATCTATAATCTGGGGGATTTAAGCAGAGTAGTTTGCTTAGTTTCCCAGACAAACTAAGCAAAATTAGCACCAGGCCTGACCTTTTTTAAAGGTTAAGGATTACATTTTATTATATAATTTATATTTTAAATGTGGCCATTTTTTGCCCCTGTTATTTCCAATAGTTAAGAATCTATGTTTATATCAACCAGTATGAAAGGCTCATATTTGACAATATAGAACTCAGCCCCAGTTGGATAACTTTCTAAAACATGAGCCATAAGTTTTGTATGTTGATTCATTTCAGTTTCTTCAGTTATTTTTGTTAAATAGGAGATTTTCTGATAGCACAAGGAATACTGAACTTTTTTGCAATGAACGTCTACACTGTGTGCAGAATTATTAGGCAAGTTGTATTTGTGAGGATTATTTTTATTATTGGGCCACAATTGTGTTCTCAATCAACCCAAAAGACTCCTTAATATCAAAGTTTCATATTTTTGGAAGTTGATGTGTTATTTGGCCATTTTATGAGGATGTCTGTGTGTGCAAGTAAATATTACTGTGCAGAATTATGAGACAATGTAATATAAAACAAAAATATACCCATCTCACTTGTTTATTTTCACCAGGTAAACCAATACAACAACTCAAATTTCAGAAATAAACATTTGAGACATTCAAAAACAAACAAACAAAAAACAAATCAGTGACCATATACCCACCTTTCTTCACCATGACGCTCTAAAGCCTTCCATCCGTAGATTCTGTCAGTGTCTTGATTTGTTTGTGATCCACATTGTGTGCAGCAGCCACCACAGCCTCCCAGACACTGTTTTCCCTCCCTGTAGATCTCACATTTCATGAAGGACCACAGGTTCTCCATGGGGTTCAGATCAGGTGAACAAGGGGGCCATGTCATTATTTTTTCTCCTTTTAGACTTTTTCTGGCCAGCCACGCTGTGGTGTATTTTGATGCGTGTGATGGAGTATCGTCCTGCATGAATATCATGTTTTGCTTGAATGATGGCGACTTCTTCTTTTACCACTGTTTGAAGAAGTTTTCTTCCAGAAACTGGCAGTAGGTCTGGGAGGAGATCTTCACTCCATCACGCTTGATCCTTCTCAATTCATGGAGAGTTATTTTGCATCTTCTTTTTTCAACACACTTCTTGCGCCCCTGTTGGTTATTTGCCATGAACCGCTTGATTGTGCGACGATCCCGCTTCAGCAGCTTGGCAATTTCCAAACTGCTGCACCCCTCTAAAAGAAATCTAACAATTTTTGACTTTTCAGTTTTTCAAATCTATTTTCTAACCCATTTTGCCAAAGGAAAGGAAGTTGCCTAATAATTAAGCACACCTTATATAGGGTGTTGATGTCATTAGGCCACACCCCTTCTCATTACAGAGATGCACACCATCTGATTTATTTGGTAGTTGGCTTTCAAGCCCATTAGGGATGGAACGGTTAATGAAAACTGTCCGAACCGTTCGGTTCGGACGTGTGTTGCATTCGGTTCATGCGCTGCTCCATTTTCTCACAGGAGAAGCGTTTACACTCCAGAGCAGAAGGTGGCATTACTGCGACCAAAGCCAACCACCAGTAGTAAACAAGAAAAAGAAGCGAAGCAGCGTAGCCGGGTGTAACAGAAAAAAGTCAGTTGTTGTGGAGAATTGTGTGGGTATGGTGAGTGGGAAAGAACAGGAGTTGGAAGACGCGCCAGCAGCACTTTATAGGTCTGCTGTATTGGAGCGCTTTGCATTTAGAGTGACCTACGATGACGGCAGAAAGAAAGTTGTGGATAAAAGTGCAACAGTGTGCAAGCATTGTGCAACACCTGTTGTACTATACAAGACATCATAGATTTTCCTAACAATCAACACATACCAAATTGAACCGAAAACCGTGACCAAGAAACTGTGAACCGAACCGTGGATTTTGTGAACCGTTCCACCCCTAAAGCCTTGCAGCTTGGAGTAGGACAACATGTATGACAGGGTGATGTGGTTGAAATACTCATTTGACTTAGACTTAGACAGATCTTATTTGTCATTTTGTTTACACAAGTGTAAAACAAAAAGCAATTTCGTTCAGAAAAACTCTCTGGACAATTTCATCTTTTTAAAAATGCAGCCTTGAAAAAAGTAAAAAAAAAAAAAAAAAATATATATATATACATACACTATATTGCCAAAAGTATTTGCTCACCTGCCTTGACTCACATATGAGCTTAAGTGACATCCCGTTCCTAATCCATAGGGTTCAATATGACGTCGGTCCACCCTTTGCAGCTAGAACAGCTTCAACTCTTCTGGGAAGGCTGTCCACAAGGTTTAGGAGTGTGTTTATGGGAATTTTTGACCATTCTTCCAGAAGCGCATTTGTGAGGTCGCACACTGATGTTGGACGAGAAGGCCTGGCTCTCAGTCTCCGCTCTAATTCATCCCAAAGGTGTTCTATCGGGTTGAGGTCAGGACTCTGTGCAGGCCAGTCAAGTTCATCCACACCAGACTCTGTCATCCATGTCTTTATGGACCTTGCTTTGTGCACTGGTGCACAGTCATGTTGGAAGAGGAAGGGGCCAGCTCCAAACTGTTCCCACAAAGTTGGGAGCATGGAATTGTCCAAAATGTCTTGGTATGCTGAAGCATTCAGAGTTCCTTTCACTGGAACTAAGGGGCCAAGCCCAGCTCCTGAAAAACAACCCCGAACCATAATCCCCCCTCCACCAAACTTTACACTTGGCACAATGCAGTCAGACAAGTACCGTTCTCCTGGCAACCGCCAAACCCAGACCCGTCCATCAGATTGCCAGATGGAGAAGCGCGATTCGTCACTCCAGAGAACGCGTCTCCACTGCTCTAGAGTCCAGTGGCGGCGTGCTTTACACCACCGCATCCGACGCTTTGCATTGCACTTGGTGATGTATGGCTTGGATGCAGCTGCTCGACCATGGAAACCCATTCCATGAAGCTCTCTGCGCACTGTTCTTGAGCTAATCTGAAGGCCACATGAAGTTTGGAGGTCTGTAGTGATTGACTCTGCAGAAAGTTGGCGACCTCTTCGCACTATGCGCGTCAGCATCCGCTGACCCCGCTCCGTCAGTTTACGTGGCCTACCACTTCGTGGCTGAGTTGCTGTCGTTCCCAAACACTTCCATTTTCTTATAATACAGCTGACAGTTGACTGTGGAATATTTAGGAGCGAGGAAATTTCACGACTGGATTTGTTGCACAGGTGGCATCCTATCACAGTTCCACGCTGGAATTCACTGAGCTCCTGAGAGCGACCCATTCTTTCACAAATGTTTGTAAAAACAGTCTGCATGCCTAGGTGCTTGAATTTATACACCTGTGGCCATGGAAGTGATTGGAACACCTGATTCCAATAATTTGGATGGGTGAGCAAATACTTTTGGCAATATAGTGTATATATATATATATATATATATATATATATATATATATATATATATATATATATATATATACGGTATATATATATATATATATATACGGTATATATATATATATATATATATATATATTTTTTTTTCCTAATCCTGCACACAGTGTATTTTTTGATGTAATGCTGTTTCATAAGTAATGATTTTCACACTCTAATCTCACCTTTTCATTGTGAGTCTACCTTTGTACTATTTTTTTTTATTTTGTCATTCAGCTGCTTTTTTATTAAAGCTACAGCCAGATCCCGCATATATTGAAAACTCTTCATAATGCGTCATATTTCTCACTAAATCTGGGTCTTGTTTTTTTTCAGCGGTATGTAGGACAGTTCGTCTTTGCTGTTTTGTTTTTATTTCTGTGTTTACGTAAAGTTAAAAATAATCTCTTTTGTGTTAATGATTAATGATAAGATATTCTCCTTTTCTCTTTTCTCTTTAGTGGAGCCAGTCCTGTCGGTTTAATCCTCACTGCCATAGTGGCTTTGGCTTACAAAGTGGCTATAAGATATGAAGGGTAAGTCCCATAAGCATTTTTTTTTATTTCTCCTAAAGTGTTTTACTCATCATATGTTTTGCAGGGTTTGCAGGCTTTAAATGTGTTGTACTATTTACAGTCCCTAATAGACCTCTGAGTCATCACTGGAGTCCTAATTATTATAAGCAGACTATAAAAGCAATAACAGCTCATTCCAGTAGCAATCAGAGGTGAAGACATATTAATTGTAGTAATCTTACTATCATCTTTTAATCATTTGAAATTACTTCTTCATGTAAATCATTAATATACAGTATGAGGTTAGATTTTCTTAATTGTATACAGTCTTAAAGTTTCAACTATAGAAATATTTCCTACACAGTCCAAAACAACTTGAATCTTGTGTTTTGTCATTTTGAACAGGTATGGAAAAAAATATTTTTTCAGTCCTACTGACTTATTGCAGTCAACACCTTCTTATCCTTTAATCCCTCCTGGTTTTCCAACTAACTTTTATTTTCTTTTTATGTCCTCTCTTGGTAATCCTTTTAATCCTTCAGTGATCTCAACCTCTTAAAGTCTGACTTCGTCTTCACTGAACATATATTTTAAAGATGTGAGTTTAGTTTCCACACTTGTCTAACTCTTGGCTTGTCTGTGACGCCTTCTGCCAGGTTGATCTTCTTTCTTCATCAATGCCTTAGTAAATGGGCTTCACTGTAAACAGTAACCAGGAATCCAACAGCTGTCAGTTCAAGCTTCAGTCTTTGAGATTTTAACATTTGGGTAATCCTAACAGGACAGCTTCTCACTAGCCGTGACAGTTTGGGTATTCTTCAAAATACCCTTGAAAGAGATACGATCCAAAGGATATTAAATAGGTACATTTGTATGAACCAATAATCATAAACTTACTTTTTTTTTATGTGTAAACACCTTCTAAACATCTCTACATCCACATTTCTCTTACTTTTTTCTCTAACCTGTTTCTCTATATTTGACACCCACTGTAATAACTATGTATATATATATATATATATATATATATATATATATATATATATATATATATATATATATATATATATATATATAAATTACCCATTTATATAAATACCAATGTAAACACCCTGTGCAATAACCCTGTATCATAATCCTACTATAAAAAAAAAATGAAAGAAAGCTGTCATATGTGGAAGTGCTGTATGTACCTCATGCACCTTTTTCTTCCTTTGACGTCTTTTTCTTCTCATTTGACTCTTTGAGCCGATTTAAAGAGTAAATTTCTCCACTGTGAGATTAATAAAGTCAATCAATCACTATGTCCTTTGAAACTTTCTAATTTCAGCTTATTGCAAAATTAAGATCAATGTATCGTTCTGTATTTTTGTTCTGATAGATTAATTTTATCTGGACTAGATTGTTTGATCCAAGAATGTAAAACAAAAACCTGCATGCATCTAAAGCAACACAGACAGGCTGATTCATTGAAAATTTATTTTTCAGTGGTTGCTGTTTTGCTAATTCAAAAATAAGTAACAAAAAAGACTGGAAAAAAGTAAGGAAGCCATAAAACATTTACAGAAATTGAAAGGGTTTGCTGTAGATGAATGTGGGTGTAAAGCTTGCCATAGCTTTTTATTTTTCTTCTGTCAATACGATGGATACATTTCAAGGACTGGCGTGGGTTGGCATGCCTCTAAACTTTTTCTTGGCGGAAGAAAATTCCAAGCTGTACTGAACGTGTCGGTTTAGGTTGAACTCAGACAGTGAATAGGACATGTTATTGAGGGTTCTGTGTACAGGCTGTAGGAATTCAAACGCAGGCCAACTTGTATACCTATACAGTTAATAATGTGTTCACACTAACAGGACTGTCCTTAAATGTTTTTACCCTAAAGCCACAAACTCAATTATATTTTACATACATTTTGGTTGATTTGGGGAAATAATTTATTCAGTTTACAAATAAAATTCTTGATACCATTATTTCTGCCTATTTATCCCAAATGGAAGTTAAATAATCAAACAATCATTCGCTACAAAACAGCTCAAGTTCAGTTCTATGGGATTATGAGTTTATCTGATCAGTCTAGCCACAGATTCTTAAACTGATTTACGGTCTTGCTTTGGCTGAGCTCCATAACATGGATATTCTTAGAGCAAAAAACATCCCCATCTCTTGGTTTAGAACTATTTCTCTTTTGGTAGATAGACCTCAAATGTAATCTGAAGTCTTTTCAATTCTCCAATAAGGTTTTTTTTACAGGACTGCCTTGTATTGAGTTTCAACCATCTTCCCACCTCAATCGATCCCTACAAAGGGCAGGTTTTATTTAGGATGACGTAAAGTATTTTGTATGTAGGCTAACCAGTAGAATTTTTTAAAGCGCCATCTCCACATTTTTTACTGTTTTCTCTCTATGGTTTTATTAAAGGTTATTGGTTAATGGATATCAGGTCAGGGGTCGGCAACCCAAGGCTCTGGAGCCACATGCGGCTCTTTACCGCCCCCCTTGCGGCTCCCTGGAGCTTTTACAAAAATGTATGAAATACATTTCTTTTTTGTTTATTTTGATATGTTGTGCAGGAGGACAAACAAACATTCATTATGTTTCAAATGCAGTAAACATTTGTATATTAAATAAATTTAAACAAAAAGTGTAAACGTTTATTTCAATCTGAAAAACTCACACAGAGAGAAAAGATAATTAGAAGAATTTATTGATGAGAAAGTATAGTCTTTGGCGCTCAAACCTCGGCAGGAACATTCATGCTGAATTATGCTTTAACATGCATGAGTAGATGAATGTGAATAGGGATGTTCCCCCCAAAAAGCTGAGGTCGAGGCCGGAGAGTCCGTATGCTCGTAGGGCATACACTAGGGACAGAATAAAGAATGCGTAATGAAATGCTGAGAAGGTTTGCGAACAACTTACCGAGCCAGGTTGTTGATGAGGATGGCGACCACGGTTGACGGCGAAAACTTACCGATGATGATGAACCATGATGAACCCATGATGATGATGATGATGATGAATCCAGGATGATGATGAACCCATGATGATGATGATGAACCCATGATGATGATGATGAACCCATGATGATGATGAACCCATGATGATGATGAACCCATGATGATGATGATGAACCCATGATGATGATTATTTACCCATGATGATGATGATGAACCCATGATGATGATGAACCCATGATGATGATGAACCCATGATGATGATTATTTACCCATGATGATGATGATGAACCCATGATGATGATGAACCCATGATGATGATGAACCCATGATGATGATGATGAACCCATGATGATGATGATGATGATCCCATGATGATGATGATGATGATGATGATGAACCCATGATGATGATTATTTACCCATGATGATGATGATGATGAACCCATGATGATGATGAACCCATGATGATGATGAACCCATGATGATGATGATGAACCCATGATGATGATGATGATGATCCCATGATGATGATGATGATGATGATGATGAACCCATAATGATGATGATGATGAACCCATGATGATGATGATGAACCCATGATGATGATTATTTACCCATGATGATGATGATGATGAACCCATGATGATGATGAACCCATGATGATGATGATGAACCCATGATGATGATGATCCCATGATGATGATGATGATGATCCCATGATGATGATGATGATGATGATGAACCCATAATGATGATGATGATGAACCCATGATGATGAACCCATGATGATGATAATGAACCCATGATGATGATTATTTACCCATGATGATGATGATGATGATGAACCCATGATGATGATGAACCAATGATGATGATGATGAACCCATGATGATGATGATCCCATGATGATGATGATGATGATCCCATGATGATGATGATGATGATGATGATGAACCCATAATGATGATGATGATGAACCCATGATGATGAACCCATGATGATGATAATGAACCCATGATGATGATGATGATGATCCCATGATGATGATGATGATGATGAACCCATGATGATGAACCCATGATGATGATGATGATGATGATCCCATGATGATGATGATGATGATGAACCCATGATGATGAACCCATGATGATGATAATGATCCCATGATGATGATGATGATGATCCCATGATGATGATGATGATGATGATGATGAACCCATAATGATGATGATGATGAACCCATAATGATGATGATGATGAACCCATGATGATGAACCCATGATGATGATAATGAACCCATGATGATGATGATGATCCCATGATGATGATGATGATCCCATGATGATGATGATGATGAACACATGATGATGATGATGATGATGATGATGATGAACACATGATGATGATGATGATGATCCCATGACGATGAACACATGATGATGATGATGATCCCATGATGATGATGATGATGAACACATGATGATGATGATGATGATGATCCCATGATGATGATGATGATGAACACATGATGATGATGATGATTAACCCATGATGATGATGATGATAATCCCATGATGATGATGATCCCATGATGATGATGATGATGATGAACCCATAATGATGATGATGATGAACCCATGATGATGATGATGAACCCATGATGATGATGATGATGATGAACCCATGATGATGATGATGATCCCATGATGATGATGATGATGATCCCATGATGATGATGATGATGATGAACCCATAATGATGATGATGATGAACCCATGATGATGATGATTTACCCATGATGATGATGATGATGATGATGAACCCATGATGATGATGATGATCCCATGATGATGATGATCCCATGATGATGATGATGATGAACCCATAATGATGATGATGATGAACCCATGATGATGAACCCATGGTGATGATGATGATGAACCCATGATGATGATGATGATGATCCCATGATGATGATGATGATGATCCCATGATGATGATGATGATGATGATGATGAACCCATAATGATGATGATGATGAACCCATGATGATGAACACATGATGATGATGATGATGAACCCATGAT